TTTCTTCCCTATGATGTAAACAAAGATGGCGCCGGAAGGTATTCATTCTTGTTTGTAGTATTGTGTATGATAACTAAATCCTGTGCGTATGATAACTAAATCCTGTGTGTATGATAATTTAACTCCTGAGAACGATAACTTAAACCCCCTGGGTACGATAACTTACCTCCTGAGTACGATAACTTACCCTCTGAGTACGATAACTAACCCCTTAGTTCGAAAATATAGCCCTTAAGTATATAATTAACCTCCTGAGTAATATAACATCCCCCCTGAGTGCGTAGACTTCCCCTCAATTGAGTACATGGTCATCTTACTCAAGGAAATGGTTCTTCGATTTCAAAGTGTGAAGATATCGTACTCAGGGGATTAAGTCATTGTGTCGATAAGGTTTGATGTCCTGGTCCTTGCGTGTGTGTGTGTGTGTGTGTGTGTGTTGCTTTCCTTGTTGATTTCAGTCAACTTCTCTCAGATAATGTTTGTAAGAGTATTTAATGTCAAGATGAAAGATATATAGTGTGCGAGTGTAAGGTCAAACACAAACACAAACACACACACACACACACACACACACACACACAACAAGGCCATTGCACTAGGGCTGCCCACCAACCTGGTCTCATAAGAACATAAGAACATAAGAAAATAAGGAGTCTGCAATAGGCCGGTTGGCCTGTGCATGGCAGCTCCTGTCGAGAGTTACTACCACTCTCTATAATCCATGAATCTATCTAGCCTCCTTTTGAAACTTTCCAGCGTTCCAGCACTTACTACAAAGTTGCTAAGCTTGTTCCACTCGTCCACCACCCTATTTGTGAACCAGTTTCTTCCTATCTCCCTCCTAAACCTAAACTTATCCAACTTAAATCCGTTGCTCCGAGTCCTATCCTGCTCGGATATAATAAGAACTTTATCAATATCCCCTTTATTGATTCCTTTCACCCACTTGAATACTTCTATCATATCTCCCAGCACTCTTCGTCTTTCTAGGGAATGCAAGTTAAGTTTCTTTAACCTATCCTGATATGGAAGGTTTCTAAGTCCCGGAATCATTTTCGTCATTCTTCGCTGCACCGACTCTAGTGAATTGATATCCATTATATAATAAGGACACCACAACTGAACCGCATAATCGAGGTGCGGCCTGACTCGCGCAAGATAAAGTTGCAATAAGACCTCTGCACTCTTATTACTTACACTTCTAGATATAAAACCCAATACTCTGTTTGCCTTATTTCGAACAGTAATGCACTGTTTTCTAGGCCGTAGGACCGGGCTTACAAGTACCCCTAGGTCTCTTTCACAAGTCGACTTCTCTAGGCTGATGTTGTTAAGGCTGTATACACTGTCAGTATTTGTTCTTTCAATATTAAGTACGCAGCACTTGCTGGTGTTGAATTTCATTTGCCATTTTTCAGACCACCCCTGCAGTTTATTTAGATCCTCCTGTAATGCATTTGCATTCTGCCCTGAATTAATCTGCCGCCCTATTTTGGTGTCATCCGCAAACTTGCTTATGTCACTGCTGATCCCAGTATCTAGATCGTTTATGTAGATTATGAACAAGAGTGGCCCTAGTACTATCCCCTGGGGAGCCCCACTGGTTACACGGCCCCACTCAGATTTAACACCATCTACGCAGACCCTCTGCGTTCTATCGGTGAGCCATGATTTTATCCAATTTAAAACTTTCCCCTCGATACCATGGGCCTTAACTTTTCTCAGAAGCCTCTGATGCTGTACTCTGTCAAATGCTTTGCTAAAGTCTAAGTAAATAACATCGTAATTTTCGTCATTATCTACTACCTCGAAGACTTTCCTAAAAAACGTCAGCAGATTTGTTAGACAAGATTTTCCCTTTGTAAACCCATGTTGCGAGTCGTAGATTAATTTGCTTTTCTCTAGATGCGACCGGATGCAATCTGCTCACTGCTCATGGCTCACTGATTTCCTGAGTGAGCGTCGTCAGGCAGTGAGGTACCAGGGTTCTGTCTCCACATTCCAACACCTCACCTGCGGTGTTCCCCAGGGGACCAGCATGGGACCACTGTGCTTCCTAATCCTGATCAACGACGCTCTATCGGACACTCCTCACAGGTGGAAGTACATGAATGACTGCACTGTGGGGGTTACAGTGGACAACACCTCACCGGACTACACATCACTACAAGGCACCCTGGACAGGCTACAGGCATGGACTACGGAGAACAAGGTCACCATCAATCACACCAAAACCGTAGTCATGCACTTCAATACCGCCACCACTCCAGTTCAAGCTCCAGCAGTCGCAATGCCCATCCTCTCCAGTTAGTGCAGTCTGCCAAACTCCTGGGGGTAACTATAGACCACAAACTGGACTGGAAGGCCCATGTAAATAACACAATCAAGGCAGCCTCGTACCGATTCTACATGCTACGACGACTCAGGTCACTTGGGGCACCCACGCCAGAGCTGAGGACCATCTACAACGCATTTATTCTCACCAAATTAACGTATGCATCACCATCCTGGTCATCTTCTCTCAACTCTACCCAACAACGTCAGCTAGAGAAGGTACAGAAGAGAGCCTGCAGAATCATGCTCGGCGCAGACTACTCGGGCTACAACAACGCTGTCTCCACCCTGGAAATGCCATCCCACAGTGACCTCCACCACCAAACACTAGCAGGTTTTGGCAGTGGGCTACTAACACCATCCTCGTCATCGCCACCTCCTGCCAACGGCAGTCCCCCCCGCCCACCTCGCGCAGTCCGCCACTACAACAAAATTCAGCCCATAGGAGCCCGCACTGTTAGATATAAGAACAGCATCATCCCATCTATTGTTAAAATAATAAACAGCTTCTGATTCATGTACTGTACAGCCCTGTAAATGTATTGAATGTATATTATGATATCTAAATCACATGTAAGCTTGTATATTTTCAGCCACCGGCTGCAACTCTATGTATAAACCGTTTATTATTATTATTATTATTATTATTATTAATATTATTATTATTATTATTATTTTAACACACACACACACACACACACACACACACACACACACACACACACACACACACACACACACACACACACACAAAATCCTCCTCTAAAATCTCTTGATGTTATGGTATCCGCTCAGTTACGCTCACCACAAACTGGACAAACAAGACAACACAGGGTTAAAGATCAATTGGATGAGAGTAACAATGTGAGTTATTGTATCCCTCTACAAGACAAGATAAAACCGTCAAGTCAAAAAGAAAATGATAGTCATCCTTAGAGATGCATAAGACATAAATCACCAGGATATGTTTGGCAAAAATCTTGGCTCAGAACTCAGAGGTCTAATCTTATATTCAGAAGACAATAATCCCACAAAGTCCACAGCAATCTCTGAGCCCGTGACCTTTACCCGTGGCACTAACATCACCCTAACCTAACCTAATGCTTACCTAACATAACGCTAACCTAATCCAACGCTAATCTATCACTAACCTAACCTAACGTAACGCTTACCTAACATAACGCTAACCTAATCCAACGCTAATCTGTCACTAACCTAACCTAAACTAATGCTTACCTAACATAACGCTAACCTAATCCAACGCTAATCTGTCTCTCACCTAACCTAAACTAATGCTTACCTAACATAACGCTAACCTAATCCAACGCTAATCTGTCACTAACTTAACCCAAACTAGCGTAGCTAATGCTTACCTAATCTAACACTAATCTAAGCTAACACTAATTTAACATAACAGCGCTTGCCTAACACACCCTAATCTAATCTAATCTAATCTATAAACCAGATAGCATAAGGGTGTTTAAGCTGGGGGGCTAATTTTCAGGTGATCCAAAAATCTAGCTTAAGAAACCCGAGATCCGAGAAAGTATCTATAATTTTTCGTGTCTGGGCGTGACAGAGTACAAAATTACAACATATATTTCTAAGTTGAGTTGTACAGTCAACAACAAAATTTCTGCACCTGAAAACACTCATTTACGCGGGTGCTTCCTGTTAATTTCTCTGTATTAACTATATTTAGTATAAGAAATACATCATACTGGTTATACAATGCATCACACAACCAGAAATACCAACCCTAACAAATTAACATGGCCTCAGTCAGTGATCGTTGCAGAGGACGTCAGACCTAGGGGTGCAGACTATTTTTTGCTGACTGTACATACATTGAAAATAAAAAAACTATCTTTACAAAATTGTCATGAAAAAATATGACAATGGACGAAGGATTTTGACAAACCTACCGAGACAACAGGAGTCTCAGTGTTCATTCTGAAATTCATCGATCACCCCAAGTACAGATAATTTTTTGGGGTGACTTACATATGAGGGAGAGTTGAAATATAATGCCTCCTAGTTTATAATTCTGAAACGGGATGAAATACGACACGAAAAAAAGAAAAAATCTATACATATATTGAACTTTTTTCTTAAGTTTGACATAGGTTCTTCTTTACATTATTACACTTCTGCCGTCCACACACTTCAGTCAATATTCTTACAGTTTCTTGATGCCCTCATGATAAAACTGTATTTTGTTGACGGAACCAATTTCTCACAGCTGTCTTGACTTCAAAGTCCAAAGATTGAACGTCAACCTCGAGCATATTCCTTGAGTTTTGGGAATAATTGGAAATATGATGGAGCTGAGACAGTGAAACCAATATAGTGATTTGCTTCAGCCGTCGGTGTGTGTGTGTGTGTGTGTGTGAGGTTACGTTTGGTGTGTCCATTTTGTTCATCAGTCATGAGCTTAAGCCAATAGTAAATAGTACTCACAACGACACAATGTCAATAAGTGGAAGGTGTTATGCATCAGAAATTCAATAACTTCACACTGTTTTCAACACACTGGCATTATTCTGTCACCGTCCGCCATATTGACTCAGGTATAGCTGTGAGCCCTCTGGTGGGTGGTGGCCGAACTAATAATGGGCGGGAGTGACCATATAATATATTGACTATACTTCAGTTTATCGAGTTACGGATAGACTCATCAGCGGTTGGGTCACCAGCAGTTGGGTCACCGGTAGTTGGGTCACCAGCAGTTGGGTCACCGGTAGTTGGGTAACCAGCAGTTGGGTCACCAATAGTTGGGTCACCAGCAGTTAGGTCACCAGTAGTTGGGTCACCAGCAGTTGGGTCACCAGTAGTTGGGTCACCAACAGTTGGGTCCTACCAGTAGTTGGGTCACCAGTAGTTGTCACCAGCAGCTGGGTCACCAGTAGTTGGGTCACCAGTAGTTGGGTCACCAGTAGTTGGGCCACCAGAAGTTGGGTCACTAGCAGTTGGGTCACCAGCAGTTGTCACCAGTAGTTGGGTCACCAGTAGTTGGGTCACCAGGTTGGGTCACCAGTAGTTGGGTCACCAGCAGTTGGTCACCATAGTTGGGTCACCAGCAGTTGGGTCACCAGTAGTTGGGTCACCAGCAGTTGGGTCACCAGCAGTTGGGTCACCAAGCAGTTGGGTCACCAGCAGTTGGGTCACCAGAAGTTGGGTCACCAGTAGTTGGGTCACCAGTAGTTGGGTCACCAGTAGTTGGGTCACCAGCAGTTGGGTCACCAGCAGTTGGGTCACCAGTTTTGGGTCACCAGTAGTTGGGTCACCAGCAGTTGGGTCACCAGTAGTTGGGTCACCAGCAGTTGGGTCACCAGTTTTTGGGTCACCAGTAGTTGGGTCACCAGCAGTTGGGTCACCAGTAGTTGGGTCACCAGCAGTTGGGTCACCAGTTTTTGGGTCACCAGTAGTTGGGTCACCAGCAGTTGGGTCACCAGCAGTTGGGTCACCAGTAGTTGGGTCACCAGCAGTTGGGTCACCAGTAGTTGGGTCACCAGCAGTTGGTCCAGTTTTGGGTCACCAGTAGTTGGGTCAACAGTTGGGTCACCAGCAGTTGGGTCACCAGCAGTTGGGTCACCAGTAGTTGGGTCACCACTATAAGAGTTAAAGAGAGAAATGTTTTACTCCACAAAGCTAGTGACTGACCAGCCACTCTCCTTAAGATTCTTAGTCATCAATTTCACGCTAGGAATGACTAGTGTACAGTATGTTTGCCTCACACAGCACCTAACACAGTACAAGACCTCACAGCACAAGACCTTACAGCGCAAGACTTCACAGCACAAGACCTCACAGCACAAGACCTCACACCACAAGACCTCACAGCACAAGACCTCACAGCACAAGAACTCACAGCACAAGACCTCACAGCACAAGACCTAACAGCACAAGACCTGGCAGGACAAAACCTCACAGCACAAGACCTAACAGCACAAACCTCCACGCACAAGACCTCACAGCACAAAACCTCACAGCACAAGAACTCACAGCACAAAACCTACACAGCACAAGACCTAACAGCACAAAACCTCACAGCACAAGACCTCCCAGCAAAAGACCTCACACCAGAACACTAACAGCAAAAGACCTAACAGCACAAGACCTAACAGCAAAAAGACCTCACAGCACAAGACCTAACAGCAAAACCTCACAGCGCAAGACCCAACAACCAAAAGACCTCACAGCACAAGACCTAACAGCACAAGACCTAACAGCACAAGACCTAACAGCAAAAACCTAACAGCACAAGACCTAGCAGGACAAAACCTCACAGCACAAGACCTCACAGCACAAGACCTCACAGCACAAGACCTCACAGCAGACCTAACAGCACAAGACCTAACAGCACAAGACCTAACAGCACAAGACCTAACAGCACAAAACCTCCAGCACAAGACCTCACAGCACAAGACCTCACAGCACAAGACCTCACAGCACAAAACCTCACAGCACAAAACCTAACAGCACAACACCTCACACCACAACACCTCACAGCACAAGACCTCATAGCACAAGTCCTCACAATAAAAGACCTCACAGCACAATACCTCACAGCACAAGACCTCACAGCACAAGACCCACCTCAATAAAAGACCTCACAGCACAATATCTCAAAGCAAAACTCCACAGCACAAGACCCACGCACAAGACCTCATAGCACAAGACCTACATAAAAGACCTCAGCACAAGACCTCACAGCACAAGACCTCTCATCACAAGACCTCAAAGCAAAAGACCTCAAAGCACAAGACCTCACAGCACAAGACCTCACAGCACAAAACCTCTAGCACAAGACTTCACAGCACAAACCTCCAGACCCTAAGACCTCACAGCACAAGACCTCACAGCACAAGACCTCTAGCACAAGACCTCACAACAAAGACCTCCACAACATACCTCTCAGCACAAGACCTCACAGCAAAAGACCACAAAGCACAAGACCTCACAGCACAAGACCTCACAGCACAAGACCTCACAGCACAAGACCTCACAACAAAGACCTCACAGCACAATACCTCACAGCACAGACCTCAAAGCAAAAAGAACTCCACAGCACAAGAACTCACAGCACAAACCTCACAGCACAGACCTAACAGCACAAGACCTAACAGCAAAAAACCTCACAGCACAAGACCTAGCAGGACAAAACCTCACAGCACAAGACCTCACAGCACAAGACCTTATAGCACAAGACCTCACAGCACAAGAACCTCACAGCACAAGACCTCACTGAACAAGACCTCACAGCACAAGACCTCACGGCACAAGACTCACAGCACAAGACCTCACGGCACGAGACCTCCAGACCAAGACCTCAGCCCAAGACCTCACAGCACAAGACCTCATGGCACAAGACCTCACAGCACAAGACCTCACCTTTAAAGAACCTCCACAGCACAAGACCACACAGCACAAGACCTCATAGCACAAGACCTCCTAACAAAAGACCTCCGCACAATACCTCACAGCACAAGACCTCACAGCACAAGACCACAGAGCACAAGACCTCACAGCACAAGACCTCACAGCACAAGACCTCACAGCACAAGACCTCACAACAAAAAGACCTCACAGCACAATACCTCACAGCACAAGACCTCCAAAGCAAAAAGACCTCACAGCACAAGAACTCACAGCACAGGACCTCACAGCACAAGACCTAACAGCACAAGACCTAATCAGCAAAACCTCACAGCACAAGACCTAGCAGGACAAAACCTCACAGCACAAGACCTACAGCACATGTCCTCACAGCATAAGACACCCATAGCGCAAGACCTCACAGCACAAGAACCTCACAGCACAAGACCTCACGGCACAAGACCTCGTAGCACAAGCCCTCACAGCCCAAGACCTCACAGCACAAGACCTCAAGGCACAAGAACCTCACGGAACAAGACCTCACAGCACAAGACCTCACGGCACAGAACTCACAGCACAAGACCTCACGGCACGAGACCTCACAGCCCAAGACCTCACAGCATAAGACCTCACAGCACAAGACCTCATGGCAC